CCCCCCCCCCCCCCCCCCCGTCTCATATGGCTTCCATTACTGAGGAATGAGGGTCAGTGGGCTGCTCCGCTCACTGACGTCAGCCCAGACTCTCAAAAATCTTCAATATGGCAAAAAAACAAGAGCGGGGGGGGGGGGCAAGCATTCCCGACACACGCCTGCCCTATCGAGCAAAAAGAAAAAGAGGGAAAGGGAAGAGTTCAAGTGGGAAAACATGGGAATGCGTGCGAGTTGTGAACAGGACAGGAACAGAAAAAGGGCCGGTCAGAGGGAGAATGCTGCCATGGCAACGTGAGCGGTACCAAAGCGGTCAGATGCTAACGTTCACACACATTTCCACAGATAATCTGCCATCACTGGCATTTTAGACGTTACTCAATCTGCTTTTTGGCTTTAAAAAGGTAGAAGTCGCAACATTTCGGTGGTGAAAAATGAATCTCGTGTTTTCTGGAGGCAAAATGAAACTTTTCGTGCAGGAGTCGGATGGAGGTTACCGTGGATACAGGAATCAGTAGACGTTTTCTTTTGCATTTACATTTTTCTAGGGCTTCACATTATCTTCATATGTAAGCGTTCTCATAACAAAAAAAAGGGTAAAAAGTACATTATACAGGATATAAAGCACCAGGGTTAACAGGTTAAGTAACTCTACACATGACAAATCTCTCAGTTTGAATAAAAACAATCCTCTCAGTTGTGATTCATCATTAAAGACATACTGACTGGATATAGGCTGCTTTGCATACAAAAGGATAATACTTTGAAGGTTTGTATCTAGTGATTATGTGGTAATAAAACGGGAAAATAGCACCAGTTTTTCGGCATCTCTAACCTGAGATCATTTTTGCAAGCGGCTGCAGCCTTTCCGTCCGCTGCCACCAGTCCGGCGTTTTCTCACCACGAGCTGTTTTTTTTTGTTTTGTTTGTTTTGTTTTTTACACTTCGGGAGCCTCGGAGACTCTGGAGGAGAGTTTTGTCCGTCTCGTTGGGCCCTTCCGACGGCTTGAAGCTGACACTTTTCAAACCAGCTCCTCACAAAAGCAAACCCTCCCCTGATTTAAAAAAATTAAAAATTAAAAAAAAAAATTAAAAAAAGGCTGTCTTATTGAGGGAAAATCGAGGTGAGCTGTGGCTTCGTGAGTCCCGTCTCATCTCGATAAGTCTGATTAGTGACTGTCAGACGCTAGCTAGTCGGGGGGGGGGGGGGGCGGGGGGGTCCTCCTGGGGGCTACACGTGCTGATTGGCCGTTTGGTGCCGCTGGCTAACGTCCCCCTGCGGGAGGCACACCGGGCAGCAGGCGCCTTTTAGCTTGATGGGCTGTTTGCACTCGGCCTGAGGACAGGACTCCACGAAACAGGTCACCTGGGCATCCTGGAGGGGGGGGGGCAAAAGGCCAGAGACGTGTTTTACTGAAACAACGCAGAACTGTGGACGGGAGAAGTGGACGTGTGAGGTCTTACTTTGCACTCGCATGTGGAGCAGGAGTCCTTTTTCCAGCGCTCTCCGTCCGTCCGCTCGCGGCCCTCATTATCAGTGCAGTCCGTCTTGCTCAGACGGGCTTCAAGTCTTTTAATCTGCAGGATAAAAAAAAAAGAAAGCTGTGAATGCCTCGCACAGACACCAGATGCAGCCTGACACAGTCGTTTTTCAGTAATGAGCCCTTTGAGTTTCAAACTCTGGCGAGCTAATGGAGCTAAGGTTTGTCTTTTTAGAGCCGAACTCCATTTTTCTGACTCCGTCTGGCTGTCGCAGATAATCAGGGAAAGTAAATCAAGTCAGACAGACCTGTAAAACTACACAGGTTTTGATTGATGACGAAGTTTAAACAGGAATGAGTAGAGAAAGCCTGAAAAAGTCATCAGGAGTTAGGCCAAATGCGCAGATGTGCGCGCGCACCTGCTTCCGCAAGCTGGTGATCGTCTTCTGCATGTCGGAAACGAAATCCTGGAAGTCGTGGATAGAGGGTTCAGTGCTTTTTCGGGAAGTTACAGTAACATTGGAAACGCCTCCTCTGGGTTCCTCCTCTGAGCTGCAACGACAAAATGGATTCAAACAGCTTATGCATGATAGATCTGCATCGTAGAACTCAATGGAACTCCTAAATCCTCATTCCACAAACAGCTAGATTACAGCTTGTGGCTGTCGGTGGATGTTTCCGGTTACCTTTCCTCCTGGACGCCGTTGGGGGGCTTCTCGTCTTTGTGGCTGTGCTCTGCTGACCGGCGCCCCCTGAAGTGGTAGGACAGGGCGTTGAACTGACCCTTGGTTCTGCAGTCTGTGGAGCAAAACACAACACAACACACTGCTGGTCAGAAACTCAGGAGAGAACGAGAAGGAGCGGTGATCGAGAAAAATCCTTCACACGCCTTTTTTCCAGCAGGAAAGCAGGAAACATATTGTGATCTATCTGTACATGCACATAGGGCTGTGCACTATCCACCTTTCTATCTAAAAGCTAATAAAAGTATTTGTATATAACAGTAAAAAGTCTCAAGAGAGAAGTTATGGCAGTAGTTTGATTCTGGGTAGGTAAAACTGGTTTGTTTGTTAGAAATTGAAAAGAAAGAGCAAACCAATCCAGAATGATTTAATGCGACATTTGCAAGTCGTGGCAACAGTAACGCGTACGTGTGGCTTTTTATTGACATCGCTGGTGTACGGAGCCATAAATATTAACGGAAAGAATGTGGGGCTGCCATCTGTTCGCTGCCTTTCCTTCCCGGCTCGGTGCATTACTTCATCAAAGTATTCGTGGAAAAAAGGCAGAGCCTCTCCGGCTGCATGTTTTACTGGAGAGAGACGGAGACGGGGACGCACACCGGAGAAAAGAAACGGTGACATGAGCTGTGCTTTCTTCATCTCTCTGCAGACCCATCTCTATGAACTTTCCCTGTTTTTTCCTGTTATTTCGGCATTTGGGACAGTAACGTTTGCATGGCTGGCTCCAGGACTGTAAAAATGCAGCTGTCTGTAGCACAAATGACGCATTTCTTAGATTCTGAGCAGTATTTTTGCTCTGATTAGAATCTGCTGAACCCTGTGGCCTCCTTAAAGCGGAGTGAAGTCTGCAGAGGCTGCGGGGTTCGGTATGTTTGGCGTTCGGTCTCACCCTCGCAGCAGTCCTGCCACATGCGCAGGTCGATGTGCGGGATGTCCTCGCAGCTGCCGTAGCCGTGGGGGGGCTGCGCCACCAGGAAGACGTCCGGCTGGACGCGCGTGATGTTGTCCCCGTTGTCGCACAGCACGCGGGTCAGCGAGGCCTGCTTCAGCTGGGTCAGCTGGGCCGGGCTGAACACGCCCGGGTTCTCGTACCAGAACCTGTGGGGAGAGCGAGAGCAGACCCTCCGGCTGAGTGGTTCCCACTTCAAAACGCACAAAGTGTTGGTTTAATAACCTCCTGAGACCCGGCCCATTCATATATGTCCATTATAGTGGACATTTTGTCCACCTGTACCCCCCCTAAGTATCTGGAGTTACCCTATCAAGCCCTATAGTGTTCTGTAGAGGACATCCTGGGCTTTCCAGTGATGTGCCATGTGATAGGTTTGCATGCTGGGAACTTTACTTTTTTCCTAAGAGTTCTTAGGTAAATATCCCTTTCAAGACATCTTCTTTTTTATTATTTAATTATCTAAATCCTGTTTTATTTTCCCATGCAAATCGTCCTGTTGTCCTCCACAGTGGACATGCTATGAAATTAAAAGAATTTTTTTTTTTTAATTAAATTGTAATGTTCTTTTTTAGGTCCAAATACATGGAAAATCACAACAAAAAAGAAATTTGAAGACACTTTTTTTCTTTGGGTCTTATTAAGCTTCGGAAGGGAGGGGAAAAAAAAGGGACGAGAACAAAAGGCTGCTGTTTGGGTGAAGTGGGGCCCCCCCTACCCTTTGGTGAGGTGTGAGGTGAGATGCGTGTCTTCCCGTACCTGTCACCATCCCGCAGGCGTTTGAACTGAACGGCAAGCACACACATGAGGGTGGGCCCCAGCCGACTGCCGGGGACCAGGTCTTCAGCCATCAGGGCCGGGAACAGGTCGATGTTGAGAGGGGAGCCGTAGAGTCTGTAGAGGGAGGGAATAATAACCAGGAAATATCAGATAAGAAACATCCAGGCAATGATTCCTCTGATGATCCCCCCAATTTCACCCCCATTTCAGTGTTTCTACCATTAACTCATTGGCTGCCAAAGACGTCTATAGACGTCTTTTATGTTTTTCAACGAGAGTGGCTGGGGGACGATCTGCTAAAGCTTGTCCGTAAATATCAGGCTTCTAGACAGAGTATGTAGTAACAAATTGACCCTCTAGGGGGCAGTGCCACTTTTGATGGGAGATGAGCATAGGCTGTAGGCAAATATGAAAAAGGTAACGGTTCGCTATGAGAGAACATGACGCCGGTGAGACGCAAGTCCAGGAAGAACGGAATGAGGTAGAAACAAAAAAAATGTCCTGATGAAAGAAGAGAGTCTACTCTTTCTTTTGGTGTGTTCGGTGTTTACATAGTCATAGCACAAACTATTCTGTGGCTCTTGAAAAATCAGTCAAAATGCTCAAAAAACTCTGGCAGTCAATGAGTTAAACATTTGCTCCTGTGTGGATATTTGGTGCCAGCACGTTGTTTAGCCAGTGAATTCCTCGTAAACAGGTTAGCTGTGGTAGGTAAAGTGTGCACGGTGTCTTTAAAAATGTACCTCTGCAGCTTCTCCCTCACGGCCGGGTTCTTGATCTCGTTCCTCAGGTCGTCGAAGGTCTGTGCCGAGGTCAGGTTACAGAAGGTCCTGAAGTCGTTGTAGGGCGGGATGCCGTGGTCCCGCCCCCTCTGGATGTTCATGGCGGCCAGGTCCAGGGCCACGGCGTGGGCCATGGAGAAGAGGCGCTCGGTCAGCTCGGTGTTGAGCAGCTGCGTGGGCAGCCGCATCTTCCCGGCCACGCCGAAGAGCCCGCGCAGCAGCGGGTCGATGCCGCCCTCGTTCACGATGCGGAACGGCGAGAAGAAGGCGCGGTGCAGCGAGATGTGGCCCTGGGGGATGGGCCGGAAGGCCTCGTCCAGCCGGTACAGCAGCGGGTTGATGAGCGTGTGTCCGAAGCGGAAGGCGGCCGTGGCGAAGGCGTTGAAGATGCCGGCGTTCACGTTGGGGTCGTAGCCGCGGTACGGCCCCATCATCCGCATGCCCGCCTCGCCCAGGACCTGGGGGGGGGAAGAAAGACAGCCGCCCGGTGGTCAGCGCATTTATTTATGTATTTATTTACGTTGTTTATGATCATTAACAAGACGATAGCCTTGCTAGCTGCGGGTAATGGCTAATAATAACATGCTACCCTTAATCAAGTACATATCTAACTCCGCCCACATCCAAGTCGGCCATTTTGATTAGGTCACCAATAAGAAGATCCCAGGCAAGAAAATCCTAATTGCTTCGTGGCAATGTAGACATTAATTTAAAAACAGTGAAATTAATCTTGCAAACACTGAATTAAACTCTATCCATAATATTATGTTAAAATAGTGAATGTTAAATAGGTTTGTACAATAAGTCCAAACAAGTTTAACCAAAAAATATTTATTTCTCACTATTATGAAGGCTGGAGGGTTATTGTTAGGGTTAGGGCCATTAATGTGGGCCACCAGTCACGATAACGTCAGTAACAGTTACACAATTCAGTTAAATTTTGGGGTCTTTGTTTTTATCCTATCGAAAATGGTATCGAGTATAGGGGTATTTTCCCGAGTATCGGTATCGAGTTGAAAATGTTTGTATCGTGACAACCCTAGGGGGCGGGGCCTGTACCTTGGGCAGCCAGTGGCTGTAGGTGATGTGCTGCATCTGGGCCCCCACGATCTTGCGGGCCTCGTGGTAGATGGTGTCCCCGTCCCAGTGCGGGTTGAGCCTCAGCAGCTCGGTGGCCACGCGGTTGTGCTCCCGGAACCAGACGGTGTGCATGGCGGTCAGGCCCAGCTGCTCGTTGGCGCGGTGGTCCCCGGCCAGGAAGCAGGGGATGGGGCTCTCGTTCTCGTCGCGCATGCACTCGGTGGGCGGGCCGGCGGCGAAGGGCAGCAGCGGTTTCCCCGTCCTCTGGATGATGCCCTGCCGCAGCAGACCCCGCTGGCTGGCCAGGTCCCGGATCTCCTCCGACTCGCGGCGCGAGCTGCCGTACACGTTGGAGGCGTCCACGTAGGAGGTGAGCTGGTTGATCTGCTCGCGCGGGAAGACGCTGTTCATGAGCAGCGAGGTCATGCCGCTGCCGCACACGGGGCTGGAGCGCACGAAGAACATGCAGCGGGCGCCGCTGCGCAGCCGGCGCTGGTCGTTGGGCGGGAACTGGACGGGGAAGCAGGGCGGGTCGTCGGTGCAGGCCTGCGCGCACAGCTGCCCGTCCGAGAAGCGGGACTGGCTGAGGGCCGCCACCGTGGAGTCCAGGTCGTGGTCCAGGAACTGGCCCCACTGCATCAGCATGTGCGTGTAGCGGTCGTCCGGCGTGACGCTCTCCGTCCCGATCATGGTGGTGGACACCAGGCGGGGCAGCGGCAGCTTGAAGCCGTGGCGCGGCTGGTCCAGGGAGCCGCGCGGGAGGTTGAAGCCGTTGTCGTACACGGACTTGAGGAGGCGCTCGAAGGCGGTGAGCGAGGCGCCCCACATGGGGTGCTGCAGGTTGTTGCAGGTGCCGTCGTGGCTGCGGTACTTCTGGTGGAAGCAGATGTCCGAGCAGTTGTTGAAGCGGCGGTGGGCCGTGCAGCCCGACAGGTTGGCGATGACTTCCAGGAAGTGGGGCGAGACCAGGTCGTTGTAGCGGAATGCTGCGAAAAAGGGCAAAAAAAAATCAGGAATGTGGACGCTAATGGGAAAAAAAAAAAGCAGTTTTAATCAGTACAATTCGGAACAAAACGCTCTTTTAAAGTAGGGGGAAAAAAAGCAGTTTTAAGTTTTGTAGCAGAATGCTGCGAAAAAGGGCAAAAAAATCAGGAATGTGGACGCAAATGAAAAAAAAAAAAGCAGTTTTAATCAGTACAACTGGGAACAAAACGCTCTTTTAAAGTAGTTTTTGAATCCAGCATGTCTGGCTGGTCAGTTTGATGGTCAGAAGAGACTAGGTGGTTGGCTTGAGAATAGCAAGCCAACCACAGGGAAGCCAGGATTTCATGCCTTTCACAGTGACCACACAAATGGACGGTACACAGGGTGTTCCAGGCTGGTGAGCAGCAGTGCATTATGGGAATAAGAGAATAACTGAGACCCTCTGTGTGGAGGCTTCCATGTGCAGCACGTGGGGGTGTTTCTGTGTGAGCCATGGCTCCGGGCTGTTGTGGTCACGCCTGAGGACAAGTGTTATGTGTAAGGTGAGACTTCCTGTGCGGGCACTTGACCAGCCCCCACACGGCTCGCCGTGCACGCACCACCGGTGCCCTGTTCGTGTGTAAACCTCTGTGTTGTGAGCTGAAGAAAGAGGAATTGTGGTGTTTCTATTCCCAGAGGAAGAAGAAGAAGAAAAGAACAGCAGATCTGTTGCAGCTGACTTAAACTTTAAGTTAGATGGTTTTGATATAGGTATGGTACTGGTATAGTTGGTTAGGTAAAGAAAAGACAACTTTTTACCCCTAACTAACACCACCACCTCTAACTTGAGCTTTTAAGATGATCTGTATGCACTTAACCTTTGACCTTTGTGCTCCTGAACTTAGCCCTTCATTGGACTGTTGCCATCCAGATAGAAGAGACTCCAGTTTTTTTTCAATAAATAGGTGAAAGTACACTATGTTGATGTTTTTACAAACAAACATCCATTCACTTCACCCCCCCCCGCCTTCACCCGCACACATAATTACTCAAATCTGCACAGCACCTTAAAATGAGATTGGAGGTCAAGGGCCTCGCAGTGGGACTCAGGACTAATAAAACTGTTTACGAGCTCCTGGTCATCTGCTCTGTGATGACGTCTCTGGCCCTGACCGCCCAGAGAATTGGATGATGGGCCTCACAAGACTCTGGTTAGGAAACGAGATGGGAGCCTCTCGATCTGGCATCAAACTACCATCTATCTTTATCCTAAAGATCTTAATGTACTGCCTCAAATTATCTCAAATAAGTTTTTTCCAATGCATTTTTTTCCAAGACATTTTTGCATTTTTATGTTCTTCTGCATGGGATTGGGTTAGAAGTGCATCGACCGGGAGGAGAGAAGCCCAGTCTGTGAAAGCATCGAAATCCGAATCTCACCCGTGCCGTTGGTGTCCACCATGAGCCCCTGGTTGACGTGGTTCTGGATTAGGAGAAGAGTCTGCTCGAAGATCTCGCCGGCGCGCGCCTGCTCCACGGTGTAGGGATCGCGGGGGTATCGGAAAAGAGCCAGCAGCTCTCCTGGCGTACGGGGCTGACTGGAGGGAGGCGGGGGAGAAGACAAGGGTGATGAAAGAGGGGAGACTATCACTATGTTTGACTACCACTATGTTTATGTTTGTGAAACACTGTGTGGAGTAGAGAACTGATGTAATTCATGATTAAACAAAATGATAGAAATTCTATTCAACATTTCTCTGGTTGTTATTTTAGGGAAAAGCAGACACATCTTCCTCTGACACATTCCACCGCAGTTTAAACAAGGAGAGGCCAAAATCTGCACAAGCATGTGAGTCATTTCAGTCATGAGCTGGATTTCCTCGGGGAAATGCCTCCTGCTGAGTTCCTGTGTGGGAGTCTTTCTGTTCCTGCTCAAGTGCCCTCTCAAAAAACAATGGGCAGCTCTGCTATCCCCTCCTGGCTTTCTACTTTTGTCCAGCTGAAATGTTCTACGTTCGGCTGCAGATGGATTTGTGGGTGTGGTACACCCTCACAAACCTGAGCAGGTCATTAAAACCTGCCCGTTTGACGCTAACCAGGAGTGAAAAGGAACGCCTGACAAGCCGCACACGTTTCTTCCTCTAAGTCACACCAGGGAGAAGTGAGGTTAGGCTTCAGTAATGTGAAAAACCTGGCAGTCTGCTCCAGTCACACCCAGAGGCCACCAGACTTTAGCAGCAGTGTGTGTGAATGGAGCCACGCTAACAACCGATGCCAGCTCCTCCTCCCATATACGAGCCTTCTCTGAATGACCCAGCTGCTTCTTGTTCCCCGATTGTCGTGAAAAAGAAGTGGAAATCCCCTCGTCTTAACTCAGACCACTACTTTGCGTGCGTGTGTGTGTGTGTGTGTGTGTGTGTGTGTGTGTGTGTGTGTGTGTGTCGGTGCACGTATAAGTGGGCAGAGTGTTTGTGAATTTGAAAGCATGCCAAGAAAAGCAACCACTGCTAACCGCGTCATTCAAGGAGGTGGAAACCTCTGAGAAGGAGACTGAAAGCTGCTTTATTCATCAATATCTGCATCACACAGCAAATCTGCCCGACAACGAGTCACTGATGAGGTCACAAACTCCAGCTGCTCACATTTGATTCATTTAACTTCTCTGAACTGTGTCTGCCACAAAGCAGAGGGGAGAGAACTCCGTTATTTTTTAAATATTCAAACAGGAGCATCATCTACTTCCATGCCCATGTTTTCAGTCTTTTCTGTGTATCGGGCGGAGCTGTGCTGCATGATTCCCGACGGGAGAAAAAAAAGCTCAATTAAGGAGAAATATGGATCCAGTTTGCCGATTTTACAGGCTAAGACTACAAACTGTGAGAATGACTGATGAAAATAATGGGTTTCTGTCTTTCACTGTTAGAATGTACATATGATTAAAGTTATAGATCGTTGCATTCTTTGTAAGTGGGCAAACCGGCAAAATCAACAAGGGGTCAAATACTTATTTCCCCCACTGTAAATAAACAGCACACAGAATTGAACTCCAATTCCTCGATAAAAACAGAATATTAAAGCGACGTGCCTCAACCTACGGCCTGCTTTATGCATGATACACCCTCCCAGATTTGTTTGCCGTGCGACTTTATCAGCTCCTACCCGTCGAAGAGGCGTCTCCGTGTGGACTCGATGGCGCTGTCCACGTTCCGGATGGCCTGCTCTATGGATGAGCTGACGAAGGTGTCCCCCTCTCTGCTGACCGCCGGAACTGAGGGACAGACGACGGAGGCCAGGGGTTAGAGCAGCAAACAGATCACCTCACCTTAAGGTGCTTTCTTCTTCCTTTAGAGCGTCGGTCGACTGTTAAAATGAAGGTTTGTTAAACGCTTTTTGATGAATTAGCGTTCGTGACTTCAGAACTCCGGCGCTTTAGCTCCCCGTCGCGTTTCTGGGACGCTCCTCGAGGCCGGCCTGCCATTAAAAACAGCGAGATCTGGATGTGAAGGCCGAGAGAGTCCAAGACAAACCGATCCGGTTTACGATCCACCGGCACACACAGGGAAGGACTGACAGGAATCTGTGAGCCGTGCTGCAGAGTAGGACTGAATTACAGACAGACTCCCACAAAGAGGCTCAACAGAAGCCTCCTCACGCTGTGCTTACCCAGTGTAGGAAACCGCAGCCCTGGTTTCACAGACTGGACTGGTTCAGGCTTTTGAGGTTTCTTTTTCAGCCTGAGGGCCAAATGTTTGGTCGGCTGACAGACACCTGACTGAATGTGAGATATTTAATGTCCGCTTAGGCTCCCTTCTTCAAAAGTTCGCTCTTACTTTCCTCACTTTTACGGGACGGTGACAACAGGCACAGAAACATTCCAGCTGCACCAAAGCCCCAAAAAGGAGAAAAAATATCCCTCTGGATCACATTTTAGACATTCGCTTAAAGCATTACTGGTTTGGTGATTTACCAGCAGGCATCACTTCTGCATGAGAAGACAAAGACAGACTAAGACCATTTGGCAGAAATGTCCTGAGTTTCATTGTGAGACTTATTAGCCACAGATCTTTTTAGCTTTGGTGTGGACAGCTTCCACAGACACATTTTCATAGCTGTCATGTTTCTATGCTTTGATGGCCCTCAGCAGGAGGAGGAGGAGGGGACACCCACGGTTTGTTCCCAAATTTCCTGGAAGGCACGCATATCCTCCCTGGGCTGGGAAAGACATCTGTGTGTTACACTGAGACTTTACCTCAGACGGGGACGGGACACCTGTTAACGTCTCTGCCAGTACGGGCAGGAAATGACAGCTCCTGTGAATTCGACCCGGGACCGAGAGCCAGTTGAAGCTTTCCCACTGGAAGAAGCGGCCTGCTTTGGGCTGGCGTTTGTCACCTCTCTCTGTGCCGCGCCATAAATCACTATCCTGCGCTTGTCTTTTTATTGGCGGATGTGGCTCAGGAGGAAAGAGCAGTTGCCCACCGATTGGAGGGTCAGTGGTTCAACTCCATGTTGAAGAGTCCTTGGGCAAGGCTCTGAACCCCAAGTTGCCTACAGGTTGCATCTGGAGTCCCCACTGGTGCAACCAGTGTGTGAATGGTGAATGACACGTAGTGTAGAGCGCTTTGAGAAGTCAGCCTGATCTCTCTGATTTAGTTATTTACGTTGTTTATGATCATTAGCATGACGTAAGCCTTTAATTGCTAGTTGCAGCTAATGGCTAATAATAACACGCCAACATTAATCAAGTCCGTCTGGCTGCAGACTGCAGGAAGCCAAGGATGGATAGCCAACTCCCCCACATCCAAGTCGGCCATTTTGATTAGGTCACCAATAGGAAGATCCCAGGCAAGAAAATCGTAATAGCCTCATGGCAAAATAGACATTAATTTAAAAATAGTGAAATGAATCTTGCAAAACACTGAATTCAACTCTATACATAATACTATGTTAAAAGTTTAACCGAAAAAATGTTCATTTCTCCCAAGTATGAAGGGTGGAGGGTTAGGGTCAGGGTCAGGGTCATTAAGTTTAAAATGAAAGACAGTATCGGTATCGAGTTAAAATGTTTGTATCGTGACAACCCTAGTACATTTACATTAAATTTACATTTGTCTTCTTACCGGTGACTGTGAGCACCATGCCAGCGACCTGGTAGCCAATCGGGTTGCGGGCCACGCATTCATAGCGGCCGCCGTCGGCGGTGCCCACATCCCTCACCTCCAGGTACCCCTCCGGGCTGAAGTGGAACTTGCCACTCTCTGTCACCTGAACGCCGTCCTGCGGGCAACACAAAGGGTTTTTATGTTTATGTTTATGTTTCTGCATTTGGCAGACGCTTTTATCCAAAGCGACTTACAGAGTAGACACAATATTACATTTCTCATCACTATGACAATAAGCTATACAGAGGAGAAACACTGATCAGAGTCAGTGGTGAGATAGAGATAGAGGTAGAGGGACTACAGAAGGAGGTGTTGGGGGGTAGAGGTACGGGTTAGGGTTAGGATAGGAGATGCAGCCTAAGGTTTCCATCATTCGGCAGCCTGGCGCTTACCTTGTTCCAGCTGATGACGGGCAGCGGCTGGCCCTGAGCGCTGCAGGGAATCCGCACATCCTGGCCAGACTCCACGGTCAGGTCCCTTGGAGCATTTGTGAAAACAGGCGTTACTGAATGAGTTAAAACATACACACACGTTAATGATTATGCCCCAGAGCTCAGTGTACCACACATGAACAGGGCATTGTGCAACCAATCACAGTGGGCATCAAACGCTCAGGCTCAGCCTTTTCCTGACTCAGTCAGTGTGCGCTTTTACGTCTTGGGTGCAAAGATTAAATCAGTCTTTTCCTAATCTGTCTGAGTGAATGTTTCTGCACACAGCAGGCGGAGCTTTAACCTCCTTAGAGCCTGACGACATGAGGACATTGCATTTCTACCTCTCTTTACCATGATCTTACTTTTTTCTTTGACCTTTGACCTCTTGGCACACGCTAACAGAAACTACTGTTTGAAATCTAAAGTAAAATGGTTTTATACATTTTTATACATTTTCCACCAATCATGTTCTTGTTGTGTAATTACAATTTTGTAAATAAGTAAAAGAAATTGTAAATAAATGTATAAAAAAAAACATTTTATAAAGATAAACCCACTAAACCTATATGAAGAAAAAATACCTGAACCATCAGAAAGTGTATATAATAAACTTATTAGGTCCTATTAATCCCATATATCTTGAAAAAAGCAAAAATACACACCAAATAAAAACTCGGGTCTGGGGTTAATTATAAATTAGCATAATAAAACAGAAGATTCACGACATCTCTAGACAGAAAATATTTTGATTCAAGCAGCAAATGAATAGAAACTGTTCATATTAACAGAGGAAGGCTGAACATCCACACAGGAAACTCAGTGCTGCTTCCCGTTAATCCCCATTTCACTTTCTGGACCGGAACAGCTGTTCCACACACAGCATTTTAACTGCGAGGAGCCATTAAACAACGTGTACTTTAAGCCATGTTAACGGCCATTACAACATGGAAAAACATGGTGTCATTCCAGGATTACAGGCTGCCAAGCTTTCCTGTGTCACACCAAGCCTGTAATTTCAGCTGCTCGCACGGGCAAATTATGTGCAGGCAGCACAAAAAAAGGACTGTTACACATCAACCTTTATGCTTTCTCCTAAAGAAGATATGTCCAAGCATAGCATGCATTACACAAAATAGGACTTAGGACATGATTTGGTCGGAATTTAGACGATTTCGAATTAGTTTCATGGAGATCGTTCCCAAATTCAACCAGAAAAAAGCAAAAACTAGCCTTAATTTGAAATAAAAGCTGTTTCACCAGAGCCTGACAACCTGCCTTCTGCTAAAATGTCCCATTTCATTAATGATTGTTTGATTTTTTTTGTCTTTTAAAGGAACAAAAGTCCCTATAATGTGAATGTGTGAACAGATTTGTGGCTCAGAAACATGATTATTACCTGGACCACACACAGACCGACACAGATCGGCCTTTCAGTGAATTCTGTAGATGCACTGTAACGATTTAATAGCATACTGGCAAACAACAGATGAGCTGCAAATAAAGGCTCCCTTTCAGCGCCCCACTCCCACCCTCCCGACATATACAGTGGGGGAAATAAGTATTTGACCCCTTGTTGATTTTGCCGGTTTGCCCACTTGCAAAGAATGCAACGATCTATAACTTTAATCATATGTACATTCTAACAGTGAAAGACAGAATCCCAAAGAAAATTCCAGAAAATCACATCATATGAATTGATAAAAATTGATAACCATCTGATGAGGAAAAATAAGCATTCTTTGTAAGTGGGCGAACCTGCAAAATCAGCAAGGGGTCAAATACTTATTTCCCCCACTGTACCCCATACTGAGGCATACAGAGGAGCTGTTAGCTTTACGAGCTACTCTCTAATCTGCCTCCATGTTAGCCACCTCACGGAGCACCTGTAATGGCGCTAGAGGGCTGAAGCCTCACCTCTCTGCTCGATGCTCAGCTGCACGGCCGTGCGCACCGTCCCCACGGGGCTGATGGCCTGGCACTCGTACTGGCCCTGGTCGTGCGCGGCCACCCGGGTGATGCGCAGCGCGCCCGAGGACAGGACGGCGTGGCGGCGGTCCAGCGGCAGGGGGCTCCCCCCCCGCGTCCAGGCGATGACCGGCTGCGGGTAGCCGCTGGCCTCGCAGGGGAAGTCCACCGTGTGGCCCTCCAGCACCGACTGGTCCCGGGGAGAGACCGTGAACTGGGGGGTGGCTGCAGGCGGAGGGGGGTGGGAAACAGGAAAACGCTTACTATTTGCTGTCCCATTAGGGGTGGGATGGTTCACAAAATCCACGGTTCGGTTCGATTCACGGTTTCGTGGTCACGGTTTTCGGTTCGGTTCGGTATTTGTTGATTGTTAGAAAAATCTATTGTGTCTTGTATAGTCAGGTTAAAACTGAAAGAAAAAAGCAGTCTGACATTTGATACATTATTGTGACAGTCTTAGGTTAAAAGTAGGTGAGATTCTGGCATTGCAAGAGAGGAAACAGTGGTAGCTCCAACATGTGCTTCCCTCTAAATGCAGAGTGGTCCCGTACAGCAGACCCATAAATGCTGTTGGCGCGTCAGATTTTTATTGGCTACGCTGCTTTGCTTCTTCTTCTTGTTTCCTACTGGTGGTTGGCTTTGGGCGCAGTAGCGCCACCTTCTGGTCTGGAGTGTAAACGCTTCCCTCTGAGAAAAAGGAGCAGCATGAACCGAACGCAAATCGAACCGAGACAGTCCAACCCAACGGTTCGGACGGTTTTCAGAAACCGTCCCATCCCTATGTCCCATGCAACCGAAATATAAGGTGCTGGCAAAAGAGCTGATATCAAAGCATACCCAGAAACTGTGTGGACAACAAAAAAGTCTGTTTTTTTACCTTGTACGATGATGTGGGCCGTGGCGTGTATAGTGTCCACATTATTGGAGGCGAAACAGGTGTACTGGCCCCCATCCTCCTGGACCACGTTCTGGATGTACAGGCCTCCGGAGGGCGTGATGTTGATGCGGGCGTCGCTGGGCAGCGGCGTGCGGTCGCCTTTGGTCCAGGACACCCGGGGCTGCGGCTGGCCGGTGGCGCTGCACTCCAGGGTCACGCTCTCCCCCACCAGGACCTCCGTGTTCAGGGGCTGGATCACGAAACTCGGCCGTGCTGGAGGAGAGAGGATGTTTTATCATCATACAAAAGTATGAAAGATGGCAGATTTTCCAGAGAAAAAGGTCATCAAGCAAAGGTGACATTTGCAAAGATCCGTCTCTGTTTGTGTCCGTTTGTGTCAATTGTGTCGGCTAATAAAATTAGTGCACTCACTAATTTTCTTGTTGTAATGTCATTGTCTGAACGTGTGAATCTTGACTGATATTGTATTATGTGATTTTGTGTTGTTTTGTCTTCCTGCCTCTGGATGACAGATGTAAATTAGCAAATTTACAGCAAAAGTGTAAGATTGTTCATTAATGAGCACTGTCCTGATTAAATAAACAAATAAATAAATAAAAATAATCCCCGATAATTTCCCGTCTGTTTATCGAAGTGCTGGCGAGGCTTGTCCTTATTAGGTCAGCCAGCTCTGTGGACTCGGGGGGGGGGCCCATGTGGTTTACAGTCACACGGAGACAGGAAACGGACAACAGCTGTTCTGCCGATGACCCCGGGGTGGTCCAGAGAAAACCCATCGAGTCTCCCTCGGCTTTGAATGTGGCGGTCAGAGGACGGCGTGCCGGACAAAACGCACTTCTGTGCGTCTGTGGACAGAGACTCTCACATGAGGGCCAGCGGGCTTTGCTCACAGCTCGGTGGGACATCCCAGTTATTTGCCCAGCTGAACTCCCAGTGCTGACACCTTTCTCCCCCTCCCCCCCACCGGATCTTCTCAAACTCAGGACAGATGACTCATTAGCCCTTATTCGGGCAACGGGATGCTACTTACAGGGAGCTCCGAAGTATCGCAGGGTGACCTGAGACGTCTTGACCTCTCCGGCCACGTTCTTGGCCATGCACTGGTACACCCCCTGGTCCGTCTCCCTGGTGTCCTGAATCATCAGCGTCCCGTCTTCCAGCAGGTTCAGACGGCTGTCATCACGCATGTTTAAGGCATTGCTGTGAAAAGAGCCAAACAGAAGCGAATGCCTCTTTTCAGAACCTGCACAGGCGTGAAAAAAGGCTGCAGGGGGGGAAATTACACGTCTAAAAGTGAATGCAAAGTCTTTTTTCTGTATTTTGCTTTTTCCATAAAAAAGAGTTTCCCATACATGGGTTAGGCTGCAGCTTCTCCATTGAAAACTTGTTTGCTAAGGGTGTCTTTAAGCCTAAATCTAAATCCGTGTACGGGACCCCGGCTGTTTTCCTCTTACTTGTTCCTGAGCCAGATGATCTGGGGTTTGGGGTTGCCTTCGGCCCTGCATGTGAAGTAAACGGTGTTTCCGGAAGTTACATCGACATCCTGGGGCTCTGAGGTGATCCTCGGTACCTCTGGAAGGGGAGATGATTGGACAGATAAATCATATTTTCAAACATTCTGGTAAAACACAGATGCAAACGCTCGTTTCCAGAAAGAGCAAAGGGACAATTCTTTCTGTGAGCTTTTCCTCGTATCTTTACACAAATGGAAACCATTTATTTTCCCCCTAACAAAGAGAACAAACAGGAATAGTTCCCCTGGCCCAAAGGGGTTGTTAATATTCGGGCAAAATGGAAACACGGGCTCCCACGCTCGCTCGACCACGTGTGGCATTTGTTTCAACTCCCGGAGAATCCGTAGCACGATTAATGGCTCTGCCAGCCGTCACCTCCTCTCACACCGGCGGGGCCCGAAAGCCCAGCTTTCATCAGACACGTCTAGATTTAGAGAGATGGCACTTCCACTCCAGGAGGGCCCCTGTTTTGACAGCGGCTCAAAGAGCCGTGCGTTGATCCGCCAGCCCCCACGGAGCTGGAACCCGAGGGGGGGCCAGAAAGGTGCAGAAAGGCTTTCAACAGACATTCTTCCCCATGTGTGGCGCTGTGCAGAGGGAGGGGGGGGGGGGGGGGGGTTAGACTGGGCAGGAACGGGCATGTCGGGCCGTCACATTAGCTGCTGAGATTAAACTGTGGTTGAGTTACAGGCAGCTGCCTGGCTCAGGCTGCAGGATTCAGTGGGAGCTGGAGGAAACACAGAATTAAGACAGCTGGATTTACTGCTCTGAAAACTAACTGCCTGTTGAGGAGACGGACTGAAATCCAACACGCGTTTAGAGGGAAATTTGGATTCTCTTTTCCACCCACGCTGTGAAAAAGTTGGGTCGATCTTGATTGTGTGCTCGGGGACGCTCGTCTCTGGCTTGCAAAGATGACAAATGATGCCCCATTAAGTCGGCACAGAATAATGAAAACTTCAGCTTTCGGGGTTTCTCAAAGAAGGAAACAAACCAACTCCCTAAAGCCCATGGAAACTGTCCATCACACTAATTTACACATGAATTAGCCTATAATTTGAACATTTCACTTACCCTGAGAGGGGAATTCAGGCTATTTCTATTCCTTATTGGCCAGAATGATTAAAAGGATGCAAAGTAACATATGCTGTTAATGGGACACAAAGTATAGTTTTAAAGTATAATAGTTTTTTGCAATAGATTAAAATGGAGATGACTGAGTGTGACATCATGGCTCTGTGTTGGGCCCCCTGCTTTTCTTCTTTCCGATATCAATGACATTCCTGAAACGAATCTTTAAATTCACACACAAGCTGATAAAAGACAAAGAAACTGTGGCATGTGTGTGTGATGCATCAGTTTAACTCCAATGGACAAAAGCAGGTATTAGTGGACAAGTTTGTCTCAAAGCACATCCAAGTAGCTTTGGATATCTTCAATTGTAAAAGTGGACCCGATGTTCAACCAGTCAACCTTTCACTCACAAACTGATGCATTTCCCCACACAAAATAATAATGAGGTTTAGATCGTTCCGTACCGCAGTTGAGCTCCTGGGCGGTGAGCGTGGCCACCGACCGGCCCTGCAGGCGGGCGGGGAAGTCGCAGGTGGCGGCCGCCTGGGCGTTGCCCGACTCGGCGTACTGCTTCAGCAGGTCGGCCAGCCACAGCAGCTCGCAGTCGCAGTTCAGCGCGTTGGAGTCCAGCCGCCTGCAAACAGACACGAGTCGGACCTGGAACTACTGAGATCCTCCTCCATTTGTCCACCACGCAGAGCCACGCTAGGCTAATTGCTTCATGTGTATCTTAGACGTCTTAGTCTTTCATCCCTGCTGCTACCAGACTGTACAATTCTGCACTTTAACAACTGCTGTGCAATTGTATTATATTTATTGACCTGTGTAATATGTGTACTGTGTGTGAGCCATCAATGATTGTATATATTTTAGTCACTCAAATCTCTGCGCTGTGTTGCTTCCTTGTATATTTGTTTGTTTTTGCTATACTTTATGCACCTTTTCCTCCTTATGAACTCTAACCGATGTGTGACCAGTGAATTTCTCCACTGTGAGATCAATAAAGCTCCTATCTTGTCTTATCTTATCTTATATTAGGCTTACTATGGACAGGGAAAAATGCCTCTCGGATTAAGGATGTGTGTCCGCGGACACATTTGCTGACAGAATGAGGTCACCCTGAACCTCCACCTGAAGCTTTCCACCTGTGATAAGGCTCGCCACGTTGAGCCTGAAGCTGAGCGATCCCTCACTGGCAGTTTATGAATTACAAACGCGTCCGGCGGAGCCAAACCCGGCCCAGCTCAGTCCAAACAGAGGGGCCCGCCAAGACCCGGGCGGAGCGCAGTCTGCTCCCACTGTGGGAAAACCTCTCTGCTTCTGCCGGCTGCTCCAGCTTTCCGTTCGGCTACAATGTGTGCATTATGCAACACATCACACAGTGTGTGGAGCTATCTTTGATAAACTAGTTAAAAAGGCAAGTCTGTTGCAAACAGACCGAATTTTGAAAGGCCTCAATGACCAGAGGCCAGTGTTTGCTAGCTGGAGCTGCTCTTAGAATTCAGTCTTAAGCAATCTGGTCTGGAATTTAAGACTTAGTAGTGGTTATTTTATGGGTGGGGGGGGGTTGGGGGGGTCCTTTAGTGTCTGCTGGCTGGAGGAGGATAGGGTTCAGAACTCTGTTAAGAATACTTGGCTTAACACTTTCACCTATTTCATGGAAAATTAAGTATTTTTTCTGCTGAATGCACTAAAGGAATTTGAATTTCTCTCTCTTCCCTACTGAGTCCTCCCTCTATTGCCACTTCCACCCTCCCCTGCATCTGATTTCAGGGCAGAGGCATAACTATGGAAAGAACATGGCGGTGTGTCCTGGAGCCAAAGCGTGAGAACAGTGCAGCGTTGGGCTGATAAGCCGGCCCCCGTAGAGGCCGACTGGCTTGCGGCTAGCTGCAGATAGGGAAACGTGCATTCTCTCCCACATTTTTCAGAGACTGTTGTGTAGGGGGTCTGCTTACAGTCGCTTCATGGCCTGGAGATGGGAGAAGGTCCCAGGAACTAGCTGGGAAATTCTGTTGTTGTGCAAAAACCTGAAAGAAGCAGAAATCACAAATGACAACTTGATAAAGAGAGAATCTTTAAACGGATATCTCGGACTTCCTTTTTGCTACAGTCACTTTCAGATTCCAAATGGGAAAAGTAACATGATCGTCTTCTCAGACCTGCTATCGCGGCTCAGTTTGAAGACCCTGGAGACATAAAACCATTTCCCTGTTTATCTTAGACTGCACAAAAAGATTACTGTAAAAAACTTTTAATTAGTTTAATATCTGATATGAGTCACCCTGGGTCCCTCCTTCCACCGGGGATGTACAGATTCCCCCTCTCTGTGCTTTGACTGTGTCCATGGAGATATTCCCCAACAACAATAACAGGCCCTGCACCTGGGAATTCCTGCCCTCTGCCTTCCCTCTTTTTTCACAGGTGTTCCATCTCCTCACGCACTCACAAGCCGGTAAACTTGCAGAAAAAATGGCAGCCTCTGGCTCATAAACTGTGAAATAAGGATCTAACGATCTGGCTCTAACTCATCTGGAGCTTCTTGCACAGCGACCACGAAGCAAATATCCAACATTAAACAGAAGACGACTTCAGCTTAAAGTTATTTAACGCAAAGAGCTTTCACATACATGCATTCTTTGATATAAAGAGTTGTGCTGTGTGCTCCTTATTAAACTAATTCATAACTGTTCTTGACCTTTTATAGGAGCCATGTAATTAAAATTGCATCAAAAATGTCTGTAATTAATGCTTTGTAAACAGGACCTTCTCAGTGTATTTTGACCTAAAGTAGCAGGAGTAAAGAGACTTATCATAACAGTTTAGAGGACTTTTTATTTCGTCTTTAGAAAGCTCAAAAATGTCACGTTTTCTTAAAAGAATATCATGTATCCTCAAATATGAACTATATGAGAGATCAAAACAACAAAAATAAGTTATAGTTTCATCTAACCTCTCCTTTTTACCTGTTTTAAGCCCTTAAAGAATCAAGAGTGTGCTTACAGTCGTTCCAGCTTTGGCAGATGGCTGAATGACTCCGGTTCCAGAGACTCAATGTTGTTGAAGTGCAGGTACCTGAGAAAGAGCGAAAAAATACACAAAGCAGAATAAAACCTGAATACAAAACTTTTACGGGGCTGTGTGTAACCTAAGAGGAGTCCATAAAACAATCCAGTCCCGCTCTGTCCTGCGTCCACCGGTCACCTGTCCTCCTCCACTTTGAAAAGCCTCACTCATAGTTAGCACTGGTTTGCTGGTTATAAGACTAACAAAAGGTATTTTATTCCCAACTATCCACTTTGGCAACTGGACCCCAAAAGTCTCTTGTCAGTTTTATATTTCTTCCCTGTCAGGATGATGGAGACTGTTGTGATTCTGAGCTCCTAAAAAGCAGCAGAGATCTTCTTCTGCCCGTAACCCGGTCTGCCCCCTCACACCGCTCTGCCCAGCGGGTGTGACGGTTCTCCACCTCTGACACGCACCGCTAACTGGGAGACCTCTTGCAGACTGTTGTGTGCCAGCTCAGCGATTGGAAATGAGTTTAATTAGGTCGGAGTGGACTGCAGTCCAGATGTCAAAGCACGTCTACTCACAGGGGATTAGCTACCAATCGGTGTGAATTCTTACTTAAAATGACATCTCAGGCTATAATCTTTTTTCAAAAACGGGGGGAAAATATCACTGAAAACATGCTTTGATTTGCCTCGGTGGAGACTTTTGATAGAAAAATGAACAAAACTCACATGATGGCTAAAGGTGAGGGAGGATAAATAAAAAGTTTACGGATTCAGATGGGTACTGTAAAAATATAACAAATACTGTAAAAAATAACAAATATTAAGGCGCTCTTAAAAACTCTGCACATCCAACATTAACATTATCATTAACTCCTGTTTCTGCACTAGCTATCCACATTAGAAACCAACCGTAAACCCATGGTGAGGCTGCTTCATCACCACTTGAAAATCGATGAGGACCCTTAATTGCTTATGTTTCAAAAGTCCTCAACAGTACAGCTGTTACAGATGTGCATCGCAGCCGGCTGCTTTACTGCACTGAACAGACTCAAATTAAACTGTTCTTTGCTCACATTTCTCCCAAAGAATGCCCATGAAGCTGGCTGGTGGAAAACCTTGGACAGATAAGAGGCGTCGGGGCGAACGGGAGCGCGGTGCCAGAGGTCTCCGGGGTTTCTCTTTATCCCCCTAAAGAAGCAGCAGGCCTTTGGCATCTGTTTGTGTATTTACTGTCATTTAAGTTCTGTTTCCCAAATATAATATGATTCATTACTGCAGCCCAATCCAAAACAGCTGCTCAGCCAAGAATCCGAGGGCGGAGAGCGGGATTTATCCCATGACTGGGTCCTTTGCTGAGTTTTAATGGAGTTTGACTCGAGCACGGCTCGATAATGTCCAGATTAGGAAAACTTAAAACGGCTTTGGGAAAAGATCATGTGCGTATATATATCCACACTGCCTGTCTGAACAACCCACAAAGCTCACGGACTTTGACTAAAGACGGTTTTCTGCTGTCTGGCTCGCCCGTAACGTCAGTCGACGCTTAAATCGTCTCCTTTTTTGTAGGGTTGTCATGATACTAACATTTTCAACTCGATACCGATACTCAGGAAAATACTCGATACTCGATACCATTTTCGATACCACAAGGATAAAAACAAAGACCCCAAAATTGAACTGAATTTTGACAGGTTAGTGTCTTTCATTTCAAACTGACCTGTTACTGATGTTATCGTGACTAGTGGCCCGTATTAATGACCCTAATCCTAACCCTAACCCTGACCCTCCTCCCTTCATAATTGTGAGAAATAAATATTTTTTTGGTTAAACTTGTTTGGACTTATTGTACAAACTATTTAACATCCATTATTTTAACATAATATTATGGATAGAGTTTAATTAGGTGTTTGAAAGATTAATTTCACTATTTTTAAATTATTGTCTATATTGCCATGAGGCAATTCGGATTTTCTTGCCTGGGATCTTCCTATTGGTGACCTAATCAAAATGGCCGATTGGATGTGGGCGGAGTTGGATAGGTACATGATTACTGTTGGCGTGTTGTTATTAGCCATTAGCCGCAGCTAGCAGTTCAAGGCTAACGTCTTGTTAATGATCGTAAACAACGTAAATAAATACATGAATAAATCAGAGAGAAGGGGGGCA